ATGATCTAGGCTGTGGTAATGAAATTCTTTACTTTCTGTGTTTACAAATCATTGTAACTTAATTTATTTTTAAAATTATATCACAGATTAAAAATAGGAACAATTTGAAGATGTGATTTTATTTGAAAATTTTGTAGCAAGGTTTAGCTTTATAAATATTTTTCTCTTTTATGAATTAGAAATATCTTTTTTATTCCTGACAGAATATAAAATAAGTATAATTAAGGTTATTTTATAGACCAGGATTTCATTCACTCTTTGATGATGAAATAAGTGCCATGTATATTATTCTGAGTTAGAAGCACATAGAACGTTCCCTGATACATTGTTCAAATGTACAGGGAACATATGAAGAAAAGGTTAAGGTGTATGTGATTGTAATTCTTTTTCTTTTGGACTCTCTTAAAACCACCAAGATCTGCTTGATGCTGTCTATCAGCATTGTCCAATAGAAATGTAATGCATACCACATATGTAATTTTTAAGATTTTTGTAGGCATTTTTTTGAAAGATTTTTAAAAGGCAGAGTTAATTTTGGTGATATTTTCTACTTAACCAGACATTTGAAATATTTTTCAACGTTTTGTTTGTTTATTTATTTGAGACAGAGTCTCACTCTGTTGTTCAGCCTGGAGTGCAGTGACATGATCTTAGCTCACTGCAACATCTGCCTCCCAGGATCAAGTAATTCTCATGCCTCAGCTCGAGTAGCTGGGATTACAGGTGTACATGTGTGGCTAATTTTTGTATTTTTAGTAGAGACGGAGTTTTGCCAGGTTGGCAAGACTGATCTCGAATTCTTGACCTCAAGGGATCTGCTCACCTTGGCCTTTCAAAGTGCTGGGATTACAGGCATGAGCCACCGTGCCTGGCCCTCGACATGTTATTAATAATAACTTTTTTGGGGTGAGGGATAATAAATGTTATTGTCTGAAGCCACTAAGGTTGTTTTTTTTTAATTTTTAAGAAAGCTGTGGTAAAATGCTGTTTTTACCATTTTTAAGCACAGTTCAGTGATATTTAGTTCATATTGTTCTGCATCTATCACCATTATCCATCTCCAGCATTCATTTAATCTTGCAAAATATAAACTCTGTACCCATTAAAGAATAAACTTCCCATTCCTGTTCTTCCCCAGCCCCTGGCAATCAAAGTCCACTGTGTATTTTACTATTGCAGCACAACTCAGTTTGGACTACATACTTTTCAAGTGCTCATTAGGCTGCTGTTGGCAACAGTTTTGGATAGCTCAATTCTATGCTGTAATAGATACTGAATCCATTTATAGTTGGTCTGTGTTACAGACTATTACCGTGTTATGTGAATTAATTCTGTAATAACATTTCTGTAATACTTTGTTATTTTGTCCTTATTTGTCATGTAGAATAATAGGCAGATCCCATGATCAGCAAACTTTCAAAAATGGTATGGTAAGATTCTGAAGCGTTGATGTCTGTATAGTTGGATACACAGCAAGTGACTAGATGCCTATGTTTGAGAAAGTTGGAATCTGAAATGTTGGTAGTTATGAACTACCATCTCCTAGGACTTTTTTGGGAGGGGCATGTAGATTTCTTGGAGTGTGCGTTGGGAATCCCCAAGACCAAACCATCATGCTTGCTCAAAGGACTTATAGAGCTTAGAGAAAAGCTGTTAAACTCATAGTTATGATTTGTTATGGCTAAAAGATACAGAAGAAAATCAAAGGGAAAGGTGTATAGGTTGAAGCCCAAGAGGATCCAGATACGAGCTTCCGTTTGTCTTCTTCCAGTGGAATTACAGGGGCTATGACAACATGCAGAGAGCTTCAACCAGGGAAGTTCACCTGTATCTTGTGCAAGAAAATTGCTGTGGATCAGGTAGGCATGAAGGGCTCATATGACTGACTTTAGTTACTCAGTCTCCAGCCTCTCCTGTCCTTCCTCCCCTAAGAAGTCAAACTGATACAGTGTGGGCCAAACCCCATGCATACAAAAACATTAACCATAATTCATATTGTTTGTATAAATTATCTGATGTTATCAAGATCTCAGTTATACAGAGACACTATTATTGGGCAAGATATTCCAAGAGCTCAGAGGTTCTCCCAGGAGCCTCTCACAGACTAGTGCTTTTTTCAGAATGTGCAGAGTTAGAGTACCCCAAGCCTACCTAGTTACCTCTTTACTACACAGGGTGATTCAGGAGCCTAACAAAGGAAGACATCTCTAGTGTAAAGTCAAGTCTTACAGAAACAAAGGATAGATGAGAGTGGCAATAGCTCAGTACAACTTAAATATCTAATATGTTTAAACAAATGGCACGAGTTATTGACTGTCAAGGTAGAGCTATAAAGATTGACTATCAGAAGTAAAGAATAGCATTTAGGATAGCCCTACAATTAACAGGTTTCTTAGTTGGGATCAACGTCATGGTTTACTAACTGTCTCCTATAAATTCATCTTGCTTGGTGAAATGCATATATTATCTCATCTAATACACATCAAACCCTCCATTTCTGCCTATTATGGAGTAACTTGTAACACACTAAAACTGCTGAAAACTAGAAATGCTAGGGGAAAAAATCATTTTAAAGACATTGTAAAGCTTCTCAGTGAATCAACATTTGAAGAGTCAAGATTCAGTAGAGAAGGGAGACAGACATACTCTGTGCAGATTTTCCTTTTGAGTCAACTCTTAAGTTTTCCTCTTTCCAACTCTTAAGCTGTTTGGGGTAAGAAGATAAAAGCTGAGTGAGTTGTAAGAGATGAGCAAAAAATGAGGAAGTTGAATTAAGCTTTCAATAGTTTGTTATTGTTCTGGCCCTAGGTTTACAGTTGGAATCTGTTGAAGAGCCACACCACTGAGTGAGGACAAATCAGAGACAGAACAATCTCAATAGTATCTGAAATCCAGTCTCAAGTCAGCTCAGTCTGAATTGGATTGCATTCAGTCTGCTCCTACAGAGCCTGTTAAAAATTAAATCCTCTCTGGAGTAAGGTAACATCATCTGGAGGCTCTACGTTTTTTCTATACACATTTGCATACAATAACTCACAGTGTCTTACATATAATAAAAAATTACTAAGCATACAAAAAAAAATAAACAAAAGAAATTGACAAGAGAAATAGATCCACAGATTGTGCAGACTTGGGAGTTAAAAACAGGGGCTTTAAGATACTATATTCAGTTCATGAAAATAGATGCTGAGGTAGAGAATTTCACTAGAGAACTGGCATCTATAGAAAAGAATCAAATGGAAATTCTAGAGCTGAAAAATATAGTAACTAAAACTAAGAGCACAACAGATGGATTTAACTGCAGATTAGACACAGCTGAAAAGAAGATTAGTGAACTGGAAGATAAGTTAATAGAAAACATTTAGGAGTATAAACTTGTCTTTAAACTGAGCTAAGGAATAGGAGCTTTTTAATATCATCAAAGTATGTCTCTTATTTTAGAGCTTATGGGTGAAGAAAGTTCTTATTAAAGTGCAGTTGCAACTCTTACTATTTTAATGTGTATTTAGTATTTTTTGGTATTTTTATTACAGTGGATTTAAAAAAAAGAGCATCTCATTCTGTTGCTCAGGCTGGAGTGCAGTGGCACATTCATATCTCACTGCAGCCTCCCACTTCAGTCTCCTGAGTAGCTGAGAATACAGGCAGATGCCACCATGCCTGGCTAAGTATTTTTAGTAGAGACAAGTTCTCACTGTGTTTCCCAGACTGGTCTTAACCTCCTAACCTCAAGAAATCCTCCTGCCTTAGCCTCTCAAAATGCCAGGATTACAAGTATGAGCCACTATGCCCAGCTGGTTTCTATTTTAAAATATAATAAGTATATAATACGAAAGTGGTAAAATATAAAGTTATTATTTAGAAGTTTATTTGTTATACCTTCCCCCAGTTTTTGAGCAAACAAAAATTATTCTATAACTAATATGCAGAAGTTACCTGTTCCACACACTCAGTTACTTAAGATAAACCCTTAGAATGAGAAAATAAGCAAAACACATACAGATATAAAATAGATATCCAGAGCTGGTTGGTAAAACCCCTGTACTTTAACCTAGGGGAGTTGTATGGCCGTTACTTTTGGCTGGGATAACGGTTATAGTGTGTATGGTGATCTAATAAACCAGCTCATCACGGAAACAGCAAGTTAGAAAGGAAATTGTGGGTCAAGAGTTTGGGTTTGGCATAAGTACCTTGTTTCATCACATATAAGACTCTCTTATGAATTGTACCATTGATTTATGTACCTCTAAGAAAGAAAAAATACTCTGAGTTACATTCTGACATCACATTAATTGTGACATACATTCTGATTTCAGAGATGTTAAAGCGTGGAAGAAAAAGTAAATTGTAATTCTAGTTTTAAATCTCAGTTCTGTCATTTATTGTTTGACATGGGTCAGGGAACTTCTTTGAGCATGTTTCCTCATGTGTGAAAATGGATAGTATATTCTACCTTTCAGAATTAGGAAGACTCAGAGATATGAAAGTATCTACCGTGTGTCAGACATTTCAGTACCCGCTAATTTTGTTTTCCTTTCTTCCTTCTAAAGCTTGGTACTCTTAGGATGAAAGAGACCCTCGTTGTCAAACGTTGTTTTTTATCTTCTTCCATTACCTCACCCACCCCCCACTTGTATCTGAAGATATCACCGGCTGGTTCCAATATGATGATTGATATTTATGTGATGGAACCAGAGTGTCAAAATAATGTTGTTATTTTACTATAATGGTTTTTAAAATACACATTTTAACAAAATTTCTAGTCCTTCTAAACTTAGTTGTGATGCTTAAAGTCCTACCCTTTAGTTACATGGAATGCCTGCTCTTCTGATGATGCCAAATAAATACAGCATTATTCAGAGTAGGTGGATCTTTTTTAAAAAGGGGTTGGATTTGATGATGTTTGGCAGAAGTGAGAATTCTTCGTTATATTCCTATTTTAAAGATTACCAGTAAACCCAAATTATATCTTTGATTTTGTGTTTATTCTTTTCTTTCAGGATTTTTCGAGCCACCTTCAGTTGATAGGATGAAAAAATTTAAAAGAAGGCTATCCCTCACACTCCGAGGAAGCCAGACTATTGATGAATCGCTGTCTGAATTGGCTGAACAAATGACTATAGAAGAAAACAGCAGTAAGGATAATGGTAAATATTTGGCATGGGGAAGATGCTTCTTCCTTTTAATTACTTTATGAATAGAATGTAAAGTTACTTTTTAGATAAGTTCATAATAGCTTCCTTTTGTTTATTTCTGTCTGGTTCCCTGGTTTCTTAGGAAATTGAAGACTATGTAACTTTGGTTTGCTTACTAACTGGAAAATTTTTCTCTCTCTCCAACATTGTAATACCTGGTCTCAAACCCTGATGAATTGTTCTATTCCACATATCCTTCCATTTTTCACTAGTTCTTAGATAAGAATGCATTTTATAATACTATCCTAATTGTTAAATAACTTAATATTTTTGTTATTCTTGTAACCCAAGTTAATACAGCTTAAAAGTATATAGGAAGTTTGTGAAATTTGTTTGTGGCTTCATCATAGTTTTATAATGTTTCATGCATTTGACAGTGCTTTTTGCAATGTAAAGTAGTAGTACCCAGATGTTATTTGTGTATTAAATACAAAATCCTGATGAAATTTTTAGAGGAAGGCTACATATTCAAATCTGAAATAGCCCTAGGAATGTCATAATAATAACTGGGAAGGAGCTTACATGACTGGCTGCCAATGTGTCATGATGTGCAGAGTATCTGGCAAATCTTCCTTACCTATGCCTGAAATTCTGCTGCTAGAGATGTGTGGCAGTGGTTGGAAAGCATGAACACCCTTTGCCCCTTCCGCTGAATTCCAATACTTAAGTTTTGAGAGAGGAAATAGCATAGTGCAGTGGGCTCTGGACTTTTTTAAGTCATGGGTTTGGATTTTGGATACACTAATACACTTACTAGTTGATGACTCTGAGTAAGCCATTTATCCTACCCAGTCTTCAGTTTTCTTATTTCCTTTCCTCAGAAGGGTCATTATTTGCTTAGGCTTACCCAGCTCTAGAACTAGTACTTTAGAAGCCAGGTTTTTTCCCTTCAAAGTCTGCAGCATTGCGTCTGTTCTGCAAGGATCCATTCATTTTGGTTTTCCTTGATAACATCTACCTTTTCTTTTTTTTTTTTTTTTTCGAGATGGAGTCTCGCTTTTGTTACCCAGGCTGATGTGTAGTGGTGCGATCTTGGCTCACTGCAACCTCCTCCTCCCAGGTTCAAGAAATTCTCCTGCCTTAGCCTCCTGAGTAACTGGGATTACAGGCATGCACCACCCCACCTGGCTAAGTTTTTTGTATTTTTAGTAGAGATGGGGTTTCATCATGTTGACCAGGCTGGTACTCCTGACCTCAAGTGATCCGCCCACCTTGGCCTCTCAAAGTGCTGGGATTATAGGCGTGAGCCACCGCACCTGGCTTTGTTTTGTTTTTAACATGGCAGGGAGGAGAGAGTGATGGGCTCAGTAGGAAATTTAATATAATAATTTGAATATAATTATATGAGGAGGGGAAAATTGTACATTTGGGTCAAATCTCAAAGATGACTTTATGATTTTACTGTTGTTCCTCTTGTCAGAGGATCTCTTCTAGATACACAGAGCAAAATCCTTAATTCTCTTTTAGCTCCCCCATTGAATTTTTGGTGGGAAGCCCAGTGTGCTCACTGTTACGATAGAAGAGTCTTGCCCACTGTGTTTGCCAATGATGATGAGGAATAAAATAAGCACAGTATATATCTTGGTGGATAGTTTCAGGGACATATTTTTAGTAAGTACTTGACTATAAGACAAACCTCTTTTCCTAAAGAAACAGTATGGGTCATAGAAAATGAACATATGTTTTAGCTAATATTTTAGACCAATTGCATATTTTCTGGAATATTTTTGTATTAACTACCTTAAAACATGCTTTGTTTTTAACAAATGGTGAAAGATTAAAAATATTTGTTTTTTCAGGTTGTATATATTGTTTATTAAGACTTCCTTTTATTGCAGTAGTAACTTTGTAGTAAAAAAGGGTAAATAGGCAATCTGTTGAGTTTCTTCTTGACCTGACTTACTTGAAATAGTACTTGAAGACATCGTAAAAGACACTGTTCGGTTTACTCCTCTTCAGTTACAAAGATTGCTGGTAGTGTAGGCTACCATAATCTGCTGTTGCTTATTTTCTCTCTGTAATAGCACATGGATTTCACCAACAGCTCTCACAGAGATTCTACACCTTTTTGGTCACTTGTCAGTGCTTGATAGCTGGTTCCAACACATTCTATTCTTATGGGACATATTTTAGAGTATAAAAGCTCTTAGATAGGGGTGACACACACAGACATAGTCCGTCTTAGAATACAGAGAATATAGCATAATGAATGAGAAGTATAGACTATACTTTTTAAGTGATCTTCTCACACACGATATAAGCAGTTGATGAAGCAAAAGTGAGCTTGTTTAATGCCAAATCGTAGCATAATGCTAGTTGAAGGAGTAGGAGGAATATACAGTCATTCGTTGCTTAACAATGGGGATGCATTCTGAGAAGTACATTACTAGGTGATTTCATTGTGCAAACATCAGAGTCTGCTTAAATAAAACTAGGTAGTATAACTTACTACATACCTAGGCTACATGGTACAACCTGTTATTTATAGGCTACAAACCTGAACAGCATATTATATTGAATACTGTAGGTAGTTGTAACACAGTGGTGTTTGAGTATCTAAGTATATCTAAACATAGAAAAGGAAATGTATTGCACTACTATGTTACAGCGGCTATGGCATCACTGACATCACTAGGCTGTAGGAATTTTTCAGCTTTGTTATAATCTTAGGGGACCACTGTTGTATATGGGTTTTGTTATTGACGGAAACATCACATGGCACATTACATAATTTCCCTGAGTAAACTACCTTTGGACCAATTTTTGACCACTGTCTCTTGATTAGTCACATGCATGATAACAATCCTATTACTCTTACATATCTAGGCACATGGCTGTCATGCATACTCTGTATCTAGAACACATTAATTGGGGGTGATACTATAAACATCGTAGAAAAATTATGAGTGTGATGCATTTGGTTATACTTATACCTATATATTCTCACTTATGCGTGTTTTATCTCTGTCCAAATAGAATGCGAGATAATTATCTCTCTCATTTTGATAGCTGAGTCATACTATGAAGGTTTTAACTCAGTTGTAAATGTGCAATATAATTAACATTACTTTGTCTGTTTATAGAAACTAGTATGTTTGCACTTTGACAGGTGGGTTGAACCCAAGGTAAAATGAATCCTGAATTTGTATTCAGTATGTTAAAAAAAATGTTGAAAGTTTACAAAACTTGGTTGACTTAAGGATACTGGCCTTAACTAAGTAGAGCTTTCCCTAAATATGAAATAAAATTTTTGCACAAACCTGCAAGAAAAAGAATTTTGAGCCCATCAGTTTTCTTTTTACTAACTGAGAAGTGTTGAATGTTTAGTTTTTAAAAACTCGTCAAGGCCAAGGATGGTGGCTGATGCCTGTAATCCCAGCCCTTTGGGAGGCTGAGGTGGGTGGATCACTGGAGGTCAGGAGTTCTAGACCAGCCTGGCCAACATGGTGAAACTCTGTCTCTGCAAAAATATAAGAAATTAGCTGACTGTGGTGGTGCATGCCTGTAGTCCCCAGCTGCCTGGGACACTGAGGCAGGAGAATTGCTTTAACCCAAAGGCAGAGGTTGCATTGAGCCGAGATCGTGCCACAGCATTCCAGCCTGAGTAATAGAGCCAGACTCCATCTCAAAACAAACAAACAAAAAACTGTCAAAAATGAATTTACCTCAGTTCTTCAAAAAGTTAAACATAGAATTACTATTTGACCCAACAATTCTATTCCTAGGAATATACCCCCAAAATTGAAATAGGTATTCAAAGTCTTGTACACAAATATTTATATTCATAGCAGTACTATTCACAATAGCTAAGATGGAAACAACCCAGATGCCCATCAACAGATGAATGGATAAACAAAACATTGTCTAGCCATAGAATGGAATAGTATTCAATACATGAATGAAGCACTACATGCTGTAGCATAGATGAACTTGGAAAACTGAATGGAGCCAGATCAAAAATACTCTGTGGTTCCATTTATATGAAATATCCAGAACAGGTAAATCCATAGAGGCAAAAAGCAGATTAGTGGTTGCCAGAGACTGATAGGGAGAAAAAGACTGAGGAGTGACTGATTAACGTGTATGGGATCTCCTTTGGTGATACGAAAATTGGCGGTATGAAAACTGTTTTGGAAGAGAGAGAGGTGATGGTTGTATCGCATTATAAGTTTACCAAATGCCACTGAATTGTATACTTTAAAATGGTTAATTTTATGTTATAAGAAATTCATCTCAATTAAAAATTCAGTTCATCTGAGATACACCCTTCCCTCATGGATGCTCAATTTTTTTTTTACATCTTTTTTTTTTGCTGTCACTGCAGCACAACAGATGTTTGATAAGTCTTAATTCTATTTTAAGACTTACCACAGAAAGTTATATTTCAGAATCTTGTCTTTACGTAGTTAGCTTTGAACTTACTTTTCTTGTAATAGAAAGATATATTGAAATTATTGAATTTGATGAGAAGAATAGGTGACAATTTAAATGTAAGGAAGAGAATAAATCACAGTTGTAGAAAGGTAAAATTATGTTTTATTGTACATATTATTACTTGAGACTTCTTGACCAACTGAAATTCTTCAGCTAATAAAACGTACATGTTCCCAGGAAGTGTAGTCAGATAAACCTTACAGAATGTCACTTATTATTTAGAATTAGCAGTAATACCGAAAAGCAAAGTTTAAAATGGCCTGGTTTTCCTGATATTCCATATTTTCATTCTTAACTGTTCCATTTGTATATTGGAGCAATTTGTCATGAGTCAACAAATCCCAGTTTTATGGATATTGTGAGTCTCTGTCCTTCACCTAGGTTTCTTTCTCTTGCTGATCTTTTACATGATAGCTGTGACAGTTTGTCTTTGACAGTTTGTGGATATATTATAACAGTAACTGTTTTTTACAATAGCGGATAACATAAGGAGTTTAAGTAGGACTAACTCCTACAGA